CCCCACACCCACCCCTCTACTGCCCACCTTCTCCTCGAAAAGGAAGCCCCTGTAGCCAGGCTCCCAGTGGCCAGTCCCCAGATGCCTGGTCCCTGAGCAGCACCCCTGCAGGTGCCCACACCGCCTTCTCCTTACACACCCCAGGACTCTGCTCTCTGGGTCACCCACTCCCTTGCTGGCTCGTGTCCCTGGGCCTTGCTCCCTCCCTCCCATGGACCTTTAAGCCAGGACCCCTTGCGGAGCAGAGGGCTGTGTGTGGCATCTGGTCAGCATTTCCACCTGCGTGTCCAGCCTGCACCCAGCTTAGTCTGCTCCCCCCAGCCCACCCCCGAGCCCTTACAGTGACCACCTCCCTTTCCTGTTCAGGCCCAAACCGGGGCTCGCCACGTCTCCTCTCCCACGCCCACTGTCCGCACTCCTGTCGTCTCTCCCTTGCAGCTCAGCCCACCTCCCCGCCCCCACTGCCACCCAACTTACCCGGTAGCTCTGCCCGCATCAGTTACCCGGGTCAGTGACCCAGTAGCCTCATCCCTGGGGAACTCTCCTCCTTAAAACCCGTCAGACCACATCCCTCCACGGCTCACACCCCGGATGGCCCCACCTCCCCGTGTCCCAGCACCTGGAGCAGCAGGTGTGGAGCCGGCTCTGCCCACTGGGCCCCACCCCTCCGCCATGCAGGCCTGTCCTCGTCACTGCCCTCCTTGGGTCCTGTCTCCCTCCTATCCGGACCCAGACTCCAAAGCCTCCGCCCCAGGGGGTGGCACATTCTCACCTCTGACCGGCCTCCTGCTCCCAAGCCTTCCAGAGCGCTGCCCCACCAGGCCCACAGTCCCTCCGAGAGCTCAGGCTCGGCCCACCCAGGAGGGCAGAACGGGGTGCCAACCACCTGCCTCCCACGTCCGTGAACCCAACTGGACGATTTATCACCATCACACGTGATCTCAAGGCCCAGTCCGGGGAGCACCTCCTCGCCAGCAGCTTAGTCCCCCGCGTCTGAGACGCCTTTGAGCTCCGGCTGCCTGTCTCCCAGGCCCAGCTGCCAACTGAGGGTGACTGTCATTTTAGCTGTAGCTCTTTCAAAACCCTCACTGGAGGACGGGTTTGATTTTGGAGGGAAAGAGAGGAACACTGACCTGCTGCCTCCCGTACGCACACTTCAGGGACCGAACCTGCAGCCTCCTGGTGCTCAGGATGCCGCTCTGGCTGCAGGCGAGCAGCCCCGGGCGGGAGCTCCGGAGCCTGTGGGCACCACCTGCTGCTCCGGGAACCGGAGAGAAACACCTGCTGCTCACAAACCAGGGGGCAGAGTGAAGCCGCGGGAAGGTGAGGTTCCAGGACCTGGCCCGGCAGGTGGCTCGGTTTGGGTTGCTGTGACGACGCAGCACTGAGGCCCATGTGCACGGACCTCCAGGCTGCCCCAAGTTCTTCCTCAAAAACACGGAAGGGGCTCGAGGACTGCACAGCTGGTCCCCAGAGGCACCAATTTAAAAGGTCCCGAGAGAAGTCCTGCTGTGCGTCCCGCCAGCCTGCCGCCTGCTTCTTCCAAAACGTCTGGCCGGAAACCAGACGGGCTTGGCATGGCGGGGACCTGGGTGTAGCCCTGTTTGGGGGGTGCTGGGGCAGCCTGGTTTCTGAAGGCTGTGCCCAACACCCTGGCAGGGCTGGTCCCTTCTGTCTTCTTTTACTTTTAACATAACATCACGCATGTGTACAGTCACAGGGCCGTACACACACAGCTTGCTTCATTCCCACCCGCCACTCCAAAGAGAGTGTGCGGACCATCAGCTTTTTCTGCTGCACTTACATTTCTTTTATTGCTATTATTTAGTCTAAAGCTTTACATAGGTCTCCTTTTCCCCATTTGATTCCCCTCACCCAGCCATTCCTGCCCCGGGCAAGCCCCCCCCCCCCCACTGTCTGTGCCCATTGGATATGCTAATGTGCAGGCATACAAGTCCTTTGGTTGCTCTCTAACCACCACATCCCCTGCCATTATTCTTGTTCATCTAATTATGCTGACCATTATATCCCACATATGAGTGAGATCATGTGATATTTATCTTTCTCTGACTAGCTTATTTTACTTAACATAATGCTCTCCAGCTCCATCCATGCTGTTGCAAATAGTAAAAGTTCCTTATTTTTTTACAGCATCATAGTATTCCATTGTGTAGATGAACCACAGGTTTTTTTTTTAATTCCAATCATCTATTGATGGGCACTCAGGCTGTTTCCAAATCTTAGCTATTGTAAATGGTGCTGCTATGAACATAGGGGTGCCTGGGGTGGGAATGGCTGGGGGGGGGGGGGGTGTCATTCGGGGGGAAAGGAGACATATGTAAAACTTTAGACAATAAATTTTTAAAAAACACGAATTCACATAATATTACTTCATTTATATAAAGTTCAAAAACACCATACACAAAAACAATCTCAAAATGGCTAAAGGTCTTAAATGTAAGACAGAAAACCATAAAAATCCTACAAGAATACATAGGCAACAAAATAGCATTCATATGTCATAGCAATATTTTACCAACACAGCTCCTAGGGCAATGGAGACTGAGGAGAAAACAAATGGGACTACATCAAAACAGCTTCTGCACAGCAAAAGAAACCACCAACAAGAGAGCCCACTGCATGGGAGAACATGTTTGCCAATGATATTTCAGATAAGGATTTAATCTCCAAAATTTAGAGAGAACTCATACAACTTAACAAAAGGAAGATAAAAAAATCCAATTAAAAAAATGGGCAAAGGACCTAAATAGATACTTTCGAAAGAAGTCATACAGAAAGCTAAGAGACATATGAAAACATGTTCAAAGTCACTAATCATCCGAGAGATGCAAATCAAAACAACGAGGTACCATTTCCCACCTGTCAGAATGGCTGTCATCAACAAATCTCTGTGGCAGGAAAAATGAAGGAATTCTTACCATTTCCAACAGCATGGATGGGCCTGGGAGCATTATGCTAAGTGAAATAAGCCAGTCAGAGAAAGATAAATATCACATGATCTCACTCATTTGTGGAATATAATGAACAACATAAACCGATGAACAAAAACAGTTCCAGAGACAGAAGCATCGATCAGACCATCAAACCTCAGAGGGAAGGTAGGGGAGGGGGGGGGGAAGGGAGAGATCAACCAAAGGACTTGCATGCACGTATATAAGCCTAACCAATGGACACAGACAACGGGGCGTGAGGCATGAGTGGGGGCGTGGGAGGGCAATGGGGGGATAAGGACACAAATGTAATACCTTAATCAATAAAGACATTTTTTTAAAAATCAACAAAAAGTTCTGGCAAAAATGTGGAGAAAAAGGAACCCTTGTGCACTGCTGGTGGAATGCAGACTGGTGCGGCCACTGTGGAAAACAGTATGGAGTTTCCTCAAAAAGTTAAAAATGGAACTCCCATTTGACCCAGTGATCCCATTTCTAAGACTATATCCCAAGAAACCAGAGACACCCATCAGAAAGGATATATGCACCCCTATGTTCATGGCAGCACAATTCACCATAGCTAAGATTTGGAAACGGCCTAAGTGCCCATCAGCAGGTGAGTGGATTATTAAAGAACTGTGGTACATCTATTCTACACAATGGAATGCTGCGCCGCTGTAAAAAAGGAGGAATCCTTACCATTGGCAACAGCAGGGATGGACCCAGAGAGCCTCATGCTGCACTTATACTTCTAACCTCACACATCGCTCTCCTGGATGTTAGACACGCACCCGCCTCCGAGGACGGACGGGAACTGGGCGCGGGCAGACTTCCGCTCTGTCCCAGAGCAGCCCTCCTCCCTGTTCGTGTTCGCCTGGTTTGTATTTGATATTATTCACAGCCAAGCCACGCGGGGTCTGTGGTTCCTCTTATTTTTTGTTTTGCAATAAATTGTCTGTGTAATTTTCTATCTAAGACTCATATGTGAACCCCATGGTAGAAGGTAAATCAAATCAGACACGGACTCCCCGGAGCCCCTCCCAGCCCGTAGGCCTGGGCCTCGCCGGGCAGTGCCTTCCCGCACCCCTCTGTCCCCCTTTCTCTGGTTATTCCCCTCTTCCGAGCCCTCCCAGGGGAGCTCTGAGGATGGTGGCGAAGGAGGGAAACTCTCGGAAGCCCCAGTCTTTCCTCGGGCGTTTCCGCGCTCTGGCGCCTGTCCTCCGAGTGGGAGGCCGCCCAGTCCCCAGCTGACCCCACCTCCACGACCGTCCCACTCCACCTGCCAGCGGGGGCTTCCCGTCCCCCTGCTGCCCACCTGCCCGCCCTCCTCTACCTGAAGCCCCAAGGCCGGCACAGTCCCACTCGCCTCGCCAGGCGCAGCGTGTCCCCAGGCCCAGGCCCCGTGCGCCTCGGATTCCCTCTGGGGATCCCCCACCATCGCCGTGACAACCGTGTGACCAATATCTCTGCCTTAAAGGTGGTGGGGAGGTGCCACCCCGCCAGATGGACGTAAACATCTTCCCAAGTATTAGTGTATCCTCTACACCAGCGTTTGCACTGTGCCACCGGGTTTTACAGCACGCAGTACCTGACTCCTGAGGGGCACTCACCTCTTTTCCCTCAGACCGCCGAACAGATGACAACAGCCAACACAGCAGCCGTCTGTGTGAATAAATACCATTTTTGGGTCATATCGGCAAAAAGAAAAGAAGTATTTTTGGCGTGCCTCCGAACGCCAGCCATCTGTGTGGCCCTGAGAGAAGCTGCTGAAGTCGCTGCTCTGCACCAGTGAGCTCACAGCACACACCGCCCCGGCCCGCCCTCCTTCCTCACCCCCTGCGTCCTGCCCTGCACACCCAGGCCCAGAGCGGGTGCTCCCCTCCTCCCATCTCCCCAGATGTGCAGCCTCCTGCTGCAGCACAGCTGGGCCCAGCAGGCACCCCTGGCGGGCCCCACAGACCATTCCGGGGGCTCGTGGGAGGGGCTGCGGTGTTCCCTGTGGTCCGGGGCAGGCATGTAGGAGAAGGGGCGAAACAGAGAAATCCGAACTTTCGTACGACTGGTTTAATTTTTCAGCAGGAAAAAAAAGAATAAAGTTACAAGAGTCTTTTAATATTTTCACAATGTTAAAACTAAAACCGAGCTCTAGGCTGTGTGTGTAAGTAAATCTAGAACACAAAAGGGTTAAATAAGATTTCTCTTTTAAAGATACAAGAATTTAAGCTTTCCTTACATTTAACAAACTTCACAGAACAGATACTGCGGGGAACAAGCCCCCCTCCCCCGCTCTGCCACCAGGAAGAGGGCCGAGCCCCATCGCTGCCTCGAGCAGCAGCCGGCGGGGCCTGGGGCGGAGCGTGGTGGGCGGAGGCGGGCCAGCTCACCGGGGCGGCCGGGTCTGGCCGGAGGGCCGTGGCTGACGACAGTGGTAAACGCGGGCAGACCCGGCCTGGGTCCTGAAGCGAGAATTAAGGCTGGAGATTCTGCAGCGGGTTCCTCTCTGGTGGGCAGGAGGGGTGGGGCAGAGCATGATTTCCTATTTCCTATTGTGGATTCTGGACCTAAGAACGGTTTCAGCTGCGGGAATTAATTTGCAGACAGAGTTGACGGGCTTGTGGTATAAAAGGGCAAGTCGCTGGGTTAAACTGCTCCAACAGCCGGGGGTGGACAGGCCCGAACGGCCGCTGCAGGGGCGCTCGGCTCTCTCCGCCTGGACGAGGGCTCTGGGCCCGCACGCCTGCTCCTGTCTGCCCTTCCCCCCGCCCGCCGGGAACTGATTCCTAACGTGAGCCAAGAGGCCCACCCCTTCCCCTCCCGCCCGAGCTGCTGCACTCCCGTCCGCCCCACCTGCTGAGCCGACGTCTCCTTCGGAGCCGGGCCACGGCCACGGCCACGAGCCAGTTGTACACAGCGCACCGCTGCCCCGCGCACGCCTGCCTCCCTCCCTGACAGGTGTGGCCGCTGTCGCTGGGCTGCAGGCTGCAGACGGGCGAGGCCATCCCCCTCGGCTCCTGCTGGAAGGGGCGGAACCGGGGCAGCCGCTTCCCAGGCTCCTGAGGGCTGGAAACGTCATTTAAAACACTCCCAACAGAGAACTGCGGCTGCGGAGGCTGCCGCGGACCCAGCCTCCCTGCGGTGCTGCCATCAGCGTGGGATCACCTGCCAGACCCTGGACTTGGCAAGTGGCAGCAGAGCCAGTGGGTCGGACGGCCGGGGGGCCGCCGGTGGCCTGGGTCCGGAGTAGAAAGGTGGTTCTCGTGGGTGGACTAGACTTGAGTGAAGCTAATTTTCAGAGTGAGGTTACTGTTTCTCTTCTCGCGCTGAGCTTTTCGTAACAAGTCAGGTAAAAACTGTTAAGATTTTTGTAAGAACCTGCTCCCCCACCCCCAGTGAGCTCTGTGGGGGTGTGAGGCCCTCACACAGCCGAGCCACGTGGCAAATCTCAGCAGCCTCCTGTGGCCAAGGCAGCGTGGCCACCAGGCAGCGTGCTGCTGGGACCAAGGATAAGTGAGGAGGTGAAAGGCCGGACACGAACCAGAGTTTGGCAGAGCCGTGTGCGCTGTGGGGACTGGAACACCAGCTTCTACTCCTCTACAAACTCAAGAGTCTCCGTCTGGAACCCTTTCCGCTTAAGGCTTTTTATAAGTTTGACTCCAGCAGTGACAGGTATGTGTTGTTTTAAATCCACTAGCCATGCTCAAAAAAAATATTCTTCATGTTTTAATTTTATACAATGGCTAGCAGGCACCTTAGTAACCAGCCAGAAATCAATTTCAACCACCATCAACCCCTAAACTACAGTACCAGGATGGCTGGCTAAGAAAGGAAACGGCCTGGCTGTGGTCTGACGCGTGCCCAGAAAGGTGTCTGGCTGACTCTGTCCTAAATAAGGCTAACATCAGTGAACTAAGAACAGCGTCACGTGCGGCCCTGGGCCCTCACGAGCAGCCCTCCCCAATGCGCTGGCAGGAGCGCCCCACTTTCCGGTCCAGCTTCACCATTTTCATGATGGCTTCCTCCCGGCCTCGGCCCATGTGGTCAAACGTACAGTCATGCTGCTCGGGGAGGCGATGTAACATGCAGAACACGTAACCTGCAGAAGCGGGAGAAGCAGAGAAAACAGAGGAGGGTTAGGGGGGCTGCCCAAGGCCCAGAGCCCAGCTCACGTCTGGAGGCACCTCAGTGGGCAGGCGGGCGGTCCGCAGAGGCTCCTGCTGCTGAGGAGTTATTCCAGGCCCGCCCTCCTCAGCGCATGTGATGTCCCCAGAGCCGAAGGGCATTTCCTGCCGCTCCTGCCTGGAGGGACCTGGAGGCAGAGCGGGAAGGCCTTTCCCTGGGAGAACGGGTTCTGAGCTCCTGCCCGCCGGAGGCCGGAGGCCGGAGGCCGGAGGCCGGAGCAGAGCCGCCAGCTCAGCGCTGTCCCTGCACCACCACCTGGACCAGCGTCTCCCAAAGGAGGACAGAGAGCAGACCAGTGATTATGTTAAATACATCCTACCTCCTGTACAGCTAGGGCGTGGGGATCGTGGCAGTGCTCAAACCATAAGCTGCACGTGAAGGGGGCTCTCAAAGGAAAATGCATTTCAAGCGCTGGAAAAGGTTTTACATAAAAACAGAGGACAAAGTGGCAACGCTGAGCCGCTTCACTCCAAGGAGCCTGATGCCTCTAAATGCACTTGGCAGGTGGGAGGCTGAGGCCTGCACCCAGGCTTGGTCTTCTCTGGAGCAGAGAGGTGCGAGGGAGAAGCTGGTGGAAAGGCGATGGGGGAGGGGCTGGTGCAGTCCCTCTGACGGAAATAATGAGAGGAGGCCCAGAGGACAGAGGGAACATTCCTGCCACAGAATGTGACCTGCTCCCTCTCGTCTGATCAACTTCCAGGAATGCTGGTCGGTATGTGGATGTGCGAGGCGCACAGACACCCGATGTCTCCCGAGCCCTCGCTCTGGGGGGAGGGGTGGTGCTGGGAATCGCCCTGCCGGTGCTGGCTGGCTCCCATCCAGCAGTGTGTCCCGCCACACCTCAGGGTCCATGGCCCAGGCCAGGTCCAGGCCAGCCTGTGGGGTATCTGCACCCACCCCTCAGCTCCTCTCCCTGGCCGGGAGCAGGCACCACAGCCTGCCACCCGGGGGCTCTCCGCACGCACTCCCGCCCCAAGCAGGACTCCGCCCGGACTTCTTGTCCCTGGCGGCCAGGGCAGCCACCCCGCGCAAACTGGGAGCCCTTCCGCTCCACACCCTCAAGTCTGTCCTTTCCAGAGACAAGGGGTAGAGGCAGTGATTTCGGAGGAACAGGTTGGAGCAGAGACTAAGTGGCCAGAATGGACGAAGATGTCGACAGCCTGAACTTTTAAACATAAGCTTCCCCCGGAGAACGTTCCTCAGCTGCCCTGAGCTCCCGCGGGCCTGGGGCGGGGCCGGGGCGGACCGAGCCCAGGCCATGCCCTGAGCGGGAACGCGCATCCTCGCCGCTCCCCGAAGAGCACGGCCACATGCTTCACTCTAACTGGGCCTGGGTTTAAGGAAAAGAACAGATGAAATTGTATCTCCTGAGAAGCTGAGCTCCCACTTGGTCCAAAGGCAGAGTGAAGATTAATGAGCTCACGTGTTCTATTTACTGATGAGTTCATTGCTCGAAGTTACTGAACACCAGCTGCCTTCCTCCTAAAGGATCTCCCAGCCCCACCTACCAGCCCGCAGTCTCTGTGCAGCACAGCCACCTGATGAGGGCAAGCTGCCAGGTCGGGCTTGGGGTGGGCACACCAGCGGTACGGTGGCAGCATTTCATTCCTAGCATCCCCTGCCCCTCCCGTCCCTGTAAGATATTGGGGTGATGCAGGAGAATGTCCCAGGACTTGTCTCTCCTGGTGAATGGTGCTCGTTGAATACAAGTAGCAGGAAATGGGTTGCCTGTGAATTCACGTGGACCTGGCTCAGGCTTACATCTCAAGGCGGACGGGGCGAGGGGAGATGCTCCAGGGTTGTCCTATCCACACACCCACAACTCTGCTTAGTGGCTCTGAGAGCCCCGGGTAACAACCACAGCAACTTCCATGTATTCTCGCTACCCACCCAAGGATCTCCATCCATCCCCAAACTCCTCATTTCTCTGCCAAGTTCTGCGAACCTCTATCAAAACACACCTGAGCACCTGGCATTTCATTCTGGAAGGTGAAAACCACCTACAGCAGCTGAGTTTGGGAGCGGTGCTGATAGCCTGTAACTCACTGGGCGGTTTTGGAAAGCTGACTTCCCACCTGGCCGTGCCGAGGTCATTAGATGCTCAGAGAAGCTCGGTTCCCGCTCCTGTCAGGATCACTCGTCAGGAGGGGGTGCAGGCGGGAACTGTCCCAAATGCTGCACAGGTGTTACCCATGGACAGCAGCCCACTGGACGTGCACTTCCGTGTCAGCAGTGGGATACAAGGAGGGTGGGGATGACTCGGGGACTGGGGTGGACCTTTATCCTCCTTTCCTGGTACCCAAGGATCTGTTTCCAGAAACCAGTGCAAGTGACATGGGCTTTCTAGGACTCTCTGGTGGAATCTGGAGACTGAGCTGGATTTGGGGAGAGGCCTGCCCCTAACTTCAGTGATGAGCAGTGAGAGCACAGGGGACTCCATCCTGGCCAGGCCATCCTCCTCCCCAGAAGCCGGGGGGCCTCCAGAGAAGGTCAGACAAGGTGTGTTCAGAGGCACAGAAACACAGGGGACCTGAACTGAGCAGCTGAGCTGTGGCCCAGGCTTTGGTGATATCACACAATTATTTTTCCCTAATTTTAAACAGTTATATATCACCTGGCTGGTGTGGCTCAGTGGTTGAGTGTCAACCTATGAACCAGGAGGTCACAGTTTAATTCCTGGTCAGGGGATGTGCAGGAGGATGATCAATAATTCTCTATCATCATTAATGTTTCTATCTCTCTCCCTCTCTGAAATCAATGAAAATATATTTAACAAAGAAAAGTTATATGTCAATGTCAAATTCACTTACTTGTTCACAAACACACAACCCATATAGATCACTCCCACTAGGGCCCCGTAGATCAGCTTCATGCACTTTTCAGAACAAGTTAGCACACTTTAGCTAGCAACAGCTGTGCTTTCGTTACCGTGCATGCTTTGGAGGGATTAGGAGAATAGGAGGAGGTGAGAAAAAGGATGCTGACCCCCCACAAGAGAGGAAAACGTTTTTGAAGATATGACCTGCCTGCTGACTGGGCCCACCTCAGCCCTTTCCGTGCTGTGCCGCGGGGCCCAGGGATGGAGCCAGGGACTGGCTGCGTGAAGCACTGGCCTGGGGGAGGCCACAGCGGAGCTCCCTCACGCCGCCAGGGGTGATCCTGGGAAATGGGCACCACACACTCAAGAAGCCGAGTGGGCAATGCTTTGCTCGCTGGCACTGGGAAGCAGTTTGGGATGAGCCCTTGACTAAACAGGGAGCGCAGGGGAGCAGGTCCCACCGCCCTGCACTCCAGGCCCCTCTCAGCCTGCCATGACCCGGCACCTGACCGGCCATCATGACATGGGGAGAGGGACTGGAGGCCAGACCACAGCAGTGCGCTGGTGAGCTGGGCTGGAATGCCTCCAGAAGGTCTCCGGCAGCTACACTCGCAGAACGAGAGAACTTCTTTAACTACATCGGCGGCAAAGGGGAGGGAGAGCATGCCTGTGTAGACAGCCATCATGGCTGAACCACGGGGCTCATCCCAGGGCCCTGCGCACACCTGTGGCTGTGGCAGCAAGAGGTGAGATCAGGAGCTTCCTGACTGTCACCATCAGACACACAGATGATGGCGTGAGGCATCAACCTGAGACCTGCCTGACCCTCTGTCCCAAAAGGTCCCAGTGAAAGAGAAGTGCAGACACCCTGACAGAGGCCTGGGGCTCGGTGGGAGGACAGGCATTTCAGCAGAGGGTGCTGATGGCAGAAGCAAGTGCTCCAGCCACGCCCCGCTGACGCAGACCTGGGCTGTGACCCTGAGCCGTATGCCACATAAACCTGATGCCGCCGCCAATGGGTGGCCCTGGGAACACATTCCAGCAGAGGGGAAACAGGCTCATTCTCCCAAGACTCGAAGTTCTGGCGTGCGGGTTCCTAAACACGCTCACTGATGGGAACCAAGCGTCTGACCTGACCCTGGAGCTTTCCAGGTGAACACCTGAAAGTCACACAACATTCTCCCCTCAAACACCTCACCTCTGCCGGCCAGGGAATTCTAAGATATGCACTGACGATCAGGAACAACGTGTACAAACGCTGCCATTAGGCAGAGAGAAAATACACCCAACACCTTGCTCTAAGTGCTTTCACAGTTGCTACGGTATTTCTGTTTCACTTGTTTACAAAAACCAACAGCCATGGCTGCCCAAGAGGAGCACCAAGACAGAGGCCTCGCCCAGGGCCTGTGCTCACCGCTCAGGTCTGGCAGGCGGGCCTACGGGAGCTGGGCCAGGCGGCAGCCCCATCGGCCAGCTCCCGGCCCTGCCTCCTGCTCCCTCACCCACAGGCTGGGGCAGTGCAGCCCTTACCTTCCCCCAAACCCTAAGGATTAAAAAGGGGTTAGAACTGTCGTTTTCTATGGAATTTCCTAAGGGAGACAGAGAAAGTGCTCCCAGAACTCACATTCAAATTCTAAGCCCTTGTCATTTTTATTCCATCCCTGCCAGACTGAAATGTTGCTTTTCAGCTTTGTCTTGGAATGAAAAGCGCAATTTAAAGCTGGCAGAACCGGGCAGCTCTGGATACTTCTGGGCTTTAATTACAGTTGTTTCCTTGAGCTTCCCTGCCTCCCCCCCCCCACCCCGCCCCCGCCACCCCTTAACTTGGAGGCCCCCATGTTAGTCAGGGCAGGGACCGGGCAGGCCTCGGCGCCAGGGATCGGTGTTTTTACTTCACTTGCAAGAAGTGTTTTACACTTTCTTGTTCATTTGAATTTCAGATTGTCAAAGGTTCAAGCAGAATCTAAAAATACCAACAGGCTGTGGGGACCCAGGCTCGGGAGCACCACCCTGGAGTGCAGCCGGAGCCGGCGGGCACATGCAGTCTGTGACGGACACGTGGGTCCGGGGTGCCAGCTGCAGGCGGAGTGAGGAGG